CTACAATTATTATATCTGATACTGCTTAAATAAACTTGACATTGGAAACCAGTCTAAAATGTGTTTAAATGAAGTACTAGAGGATAACTTGACACTCATTTTCAAAAGTAAACACAATTTATTTGCACAATTCCTTTTTTTCAAATATCTATCAACCATATGTAATTACGTTATATCTGACGCTTATAATGATGACACTTCAATCAAAGAATGTTCAATTTGATCTCAAGTGATTTTAAAAAAAAAAAAATGAAAAATAAGATGAAGATCATTGTTATTATCAAAACTAGTAGACATTTATAAACTATTTGAACATACTAGGTGGTAATGTGTAGTAATTCTTCATTCTTTATTGACTTTAATTTAAAAAAAAAATAAGTTCATTAAAAACCCAAATTCTTACATACGATTCCTTGGGTTTTTTTTAAATTTCATTTAATATCCAAAAGTCACTATAACACATCAAATTCACTTTGAAAAATAAAAAAAAATCAAAGCCTGTGATTATCCACTTGAATACATCCAATCATATTCAAACTAAATTAGTACTATTTTTTCCCTACTTATATACATTTGGTTAAACATTTTCTTATTTAACATTTTACAATTTTTGTGTGTTAAGATTTAAATGATATATCATAACAACCAATTACGTTATTTTCTGTTAGAGTAGCTTGAACACTACAAACTTAATTCAATGAAAATAAATTGTTAAAAATGAACATTTTTTAATACTAAACACAACAATTCATTTACAGAATTGCAAGTTTGGGCAATCAAGAATTCACTCAAAAGTATATATGAATGCAAGTATGTCATTTTTTTTTTTGAAAATTAAAACCTATAAATTTATAATCAAAATTTTTAACACTAAATCAAAATACAAGCAGATAAAAACAACATGATATCATTAATTATTTTAGTTTTATTAATTTGCCATTTTTAGGGGTTCTTTATAAGTTTCTAAGATATAAATGATAAAAAGTGCCAAACAAGAAAAATCTTACTAAAAACAAAATGACATAACTAATTTTTCTCAATTTAATTTATTGCCAACAGGTTTCTATAGTCATCGGGGCAAATAAACATGAAGCCACAAAACTACAAAATAGAGAATATAAGAATCCCTAAAGAAAGCCCAACACGGCATAATTGAAAATGCTGCAGACTCGGTTTGATTGCGACTGTTCATGGAGGGTACTGTTAAGTGCAAACTACCGTCCACGCCCCCCTATCACCGGCTTAAGCAGAATTCAACATTTACTATGAACTGGTACAATTTCGAATTTTGAAACATCCGCAGATGTTTTGTTTACAAAAGTCACAAGATGGCCCCCTTCACCAAAATTTAAGTCACATTGTTATGACCAAAAAACACAGGGTCTAAGTTGTATTTGATCACTGATATTACATTGTTAGTTTTATATGTGGGTTTATCATCACACCAGCCCTGTGAAGGTCATCATGGAGACTTGATTACTTTACTGTAAAAGGTCACCTCAGGTGCTCCACATACACAGTGCATCATTTCAGGCATGAGCGGGGCACCTTAGTAGAACCATCAACATTTCCTGAGCTTGCTGGATAGCTTCCTCACATGGAAGGCAATACAAAGCTCTTGGAAGGCAATTCGAAACTCAGTAACAAAGATGAATTACAGGCAAGTGGTTCACACTCAGCTACATAACCACTCAGCCATGGAGGCTCCAATTTCAATGTTAGAAACACTGTTTAAATCAATTTAACAAAATGTCAAATTTGAAAAGAAAAAAAACACCAAAGTTATGACACATGTAGCTTTAAAATTCAAAATTTTGTTACATTTGATAATATTATAACAAAAGAAATTTTTCAAAAATAGAAACTTATAATAGGTTTATTCTGCGCCATACAATACCATGAATAATGTTACAACTAAAATTGCCTAATATCAACACTATCAGTTAAACCCATCTATGTAAAATTTGACACTAATTAAAACTTTTGAAAAGAAAATTCAACCTAAAATTATAACAATCTTTCACAGATATCTTATTTATAGATTAGTTTGAATTAAACCAAGAGTTTAAACTTCTTACACAATAGATTCAATAAAGGAAGACTTCAAAAAATGATAAATTATTTAGTTGCACCTTAGCTTTCAATAGTCTTTTTGTATTGATAGGCTGTAAAATGTAATTTATGCATTCATTATTTTTTTTTAAATAGAAGTGCCGGGACACTCCTCTTGTACAAACATACATGTTACATTACCAAAGTAAAGAATGCATATTGATGTATACAAATGACTTTTATAATTTTCGAGAAAATGTTTGTGAAAAAAGAAATTAATATTTCATATAATATATATGTTAATTACTGTTTCAACATAATAAAGTCAATAACTTTAAACACAGGCAAAGTGCCTGAAGATAATAGTGTACATGCTCAGTGGAAATGACTTAAATATGTCTTATAATATTTTGAATAAATTAGTGTACACATTACTATTGGTACTGACAAAAATATGTTTAAAACAATAGAGTACATGACTAAAAGGCAGTGCTGAAGAAATTAGTGTATACAACTATTGGTACTGAGGAAATCTGTTTAAAACAATAGAGAGGCAATGTGTAGCAATTAGTATACACTACTATTGAAACAGATAAAGTCTGTTTTAAACAATATAGTTAGTCCATGGCAGAATGACAGTTAACTATCGTCCATCTTTTGAGACAAGAGAAAGCACAACTTTGGCAATGACTTTTTTAAATTGAGGCCCAGACACACCTCAAGAACTTTGCTGGAGCGTTCCTTGAACGGTAGGGAGAGGGGACCGAATTTCGACAACGCATACAAAATGGGGGAAAACTAAAAACACGGGTGTTGCCATAGCGGTGCAACGCTGAAGCCAACATTGCAATAGCTGTGGCTTAACGGTAGCGAGTGTTGGTTAGCAGTGACGCAAGCTTTGATAGAGCGGAGTTCTGTGCACGCCCGAGTTGGCTCGGCAGGGGTTTAAAGTTGGTTTAGCGGCATACCGCTTTTGACTACTTAGCTAAACAGATCGCTTTGATCATTCCTCAGCTCCACCATCAACTTGTCATACAGTCCATGTTCAGGCCGTCTCAGTATCAACTGTCTGATCCACACAACTCTGCCTCTCCTCTCTCAACAGCTTGTTGCAGTCTGTGGAGTTTCTGATTCTGCTGCTGGACTAGTGCACCAATCATAGCAAGTCTCTCAGCATCCATGATAGTACAGATTTACTGTACTTTTGAGCAAATTCTATGTAAATAAGGTCTGCACTAAATGACAGCTTGGTTCCAAATGGGCTATTGGTTCATTTCTCCTCGTAATTATAGCTAAATTCTGGTCCCGCTCCGACACCTCCATACCAACGCTAAACCAAAGTTCATCACCACAATAGATCGCTGCTTCAACACCCAACACCATTCCAGCAATCCTGTGTAAGCTCGTAAAACGCTTACAACCGCTCCACGATAGTTTGTGCAACGTTTAATCACCGTCTTGGCAAAGCTGGCGAAGCAGTGGTGGTCCAGCATTAGCCTAGGGGATCCAAGCGTCCACGAACTTGCGTCTAGCGGTACCAAACTTTGACTAAGTATTGTTGGGAGCGATAGTGAACTTTGCCGGAGCGGACATTGAAGTGTAAGGCAGCTTAATTTTCAATTACTTTAAGTCTATCGGATGGCAATACTGATTACACAGCTGTTGGCAATATATTAAAATATCTTTAAAGGAAATACAGTCATACAGATATTTGCAATGACTTTGAGTCTATAATTATGAAGACATTAGAGTATACAAAAACATTGGGCAACAACTTAAGTCTTTCAGAAAACAATAATGTACATGGTTTCCGGCAATAACTTCAAATATTTCTAATGACTATAGGACAACAGATCTACTAGAAATGACAAATATATCTATACAGTGCTGCTAGCTCCCTGGCCTTTAAGATAATACAAAAGACACTCTAAAACTTTTTACAAAGCTTGATTTGGCTAAGATGGCTCACAACTCATACCAATGTCAAAAACATGAAATGAACCATTCAAGAAAACCTGTCACACAGCTTATATGAGATATTAATATTATACTAAAACTGAACTTAAATACCAACATTTTAACAAGTAAATGTAAATGAAATATAGTTGCCCAATGAGATTAGTCACTATTGAAATATTGTTATCATGTTTGACAGATATTTTCACAGGGGCTACCTTAAATAATGATTTTCAATAATTTTATCACATACTGATTTATGAACAAGTGCACTTCACGAAAGCGTGGATCTTAATTCTAATTCTTTATTTAAATAGCATTAAGAAAAGGGGTTTATATGGATATTTTTCCTGCTTATTTAAGATGATAATTCAAAGTATAACAGTTGGATATTAATTTAGGATAATCCAATGTGAAAACTTTCCCATCCCCATACTTTGCACTGACTTATCGTCATAAAATCTAGGCTAAAAGTTCATAATGAGATCTGGTAAAATCTTGGTTAATATTTTTTTTGTATATTTTTTTTTAACTTCAAGATTGCTATCTGTCTAACAAATGAAACAAATCAAAGCCTTAATTAAGCTGAATTTTTTTCTTATTTAATCTCCCTTTATTAATCTGAATATCATATAATTTTGATTTACTCATTGCTTGATATCAGACATCCATTGCTCTTTTATTACTTATGTCCAATTTTACCAAAGTATGTAAAATTCCATCATTTACAATATATTGTTATCAAACAAGAAAGCTATTCACTGATTTTATAACAAAGCTACATGTACAGAGTATTACCTACCTTTTTCAAGATTATCCTGCCATTTCATTTGTTTCCTTCTCCTTAACCTTTTATCATAAAATGTTCTTACCTTTTTCTCCTAACTCTTCAGTATCAAAATTTTAATTGGCTGATATTGGCTGTTTTTTCCCCCTTTCTTTCTTATTAATCATAGAAATTTTAAATAATCAGCTAAAAAGTCTTTCTGTACCTTTTTTCTTAACTCTTCAATATTGGATTGGCTGTTATCTTCATTGGGTCTTTTCTTATTTGTGTCCTCGCATGCGGTAATGAATACTGGAGTAGCATGAGTTACAACCCCTGCCGTCACAGACGCTGATCTTCTAAGGGAGGTAAATCTAGGTTGATCAGACGTTCCTTCTAAAGCTGAAACAAAGTCAAGGAAACGTGAAAAAAAATCCATGTTATCATTCATTACTAAACATTTATGTTTCTAAGCTAAAAGCTTATGATTTTCCTTAAATGTGAGAAAATAAATACAACACTATAAAATATATCCATTCCTTCATAACACTTTATCTATACAATATAGAATTCTAAATATTTTTCAGTTATAACAAGTTAAATAAAAATATAAAAATCAGTATAATTATGAAAGTTTAAGAAATGAAATACAATTTTTTTTAAATAATCTTAAGCCGGACCAGATAGATATTTTAGCACTGTCATTTTGTTTCTTTTCAACAGAATCAGTTCCTAAGAATGCCCTGTTCATAATAACTATTTACGTGCATTTCGTAACGATTTTTATAATCCCCGTTGTGACGAAAGCCTTTATCCTAAAACACACCTAAAACTCACACATACCAGGACTTAAAATTAAAAAATATACGGACCAAAAGTTAATCAAAGATAAAGAAAACAAATAAATAGAAATGAGAAAGTACACATTTGAGATAACATGGACATTAAGTATGACGAAAAAGTTAATTTATGTTTTTGTAATATATAAAACACAAGCCCATATCATGGATATTTTATCAATGAAAAATATTCGCACTGTATCTATGTGTGTGAAAGAAACTAAACGTCTTTGAAAAACAGGACTGTTTTTTATGTTTATCAATCCCTATGAAGACAAAGTAAAACAAGAGCTGTCACAAGGGAATATATCGCCGGTACCCATGGTCATATATTCTGTATATATTTCATTATGTACAGAATATGGATCGTGGGTAACCAACGATGAGGGACAGAGTGTTTGTATACTTTTAATGGATTATAATAAAACAAAAGCAACGATGATTATATCAACATCATTAAAAGGCTTGTCTTTTTAAGGTCAAAAAGGGAAGTAATTCAATACAAATTTATAAAAGAGTTATGGGTTTATATTTATACGATACAGTCATGCTTTTTGAAAGTTATAATTGGAAACCTAAAAAAAGAAAAAAAAAAGAAAAATGTTTATCTTATTGTCAAAAGAACAAAATGAATTTGTTTTTAAACATTTTAATGAAAATTGATTGTGAAATAATGTTTTGCGACATATATTTATCATTTATGAGTCTGCTTCAAGGAACATGGTCATGACTCAAGTAAAGCCTGAATCAACCACCCCACGTTTGAGAAGCAGTCAACCTGAATCATTACAGGCCATCCTACCCTTTACAAGACTTAATTATTTGTCCCTTGACCTTTGCATTTTTTAAATATTTGAAGTTATGCATAATGCTTGTAGAACATAACATGGTAAAATAAATAACTTGTAACTATCAAAAATGTGTAAAAAAATAAGGGTGATATTAATAAGATGATATGCTTTAGAAAGAACTGTCGAGACATTAATGTTTATTAAAGGAGACAAATCATTTCAATGATTTACAACATTGTTTATGTATAACAATGTTAAATAAAGAAACTGTGACATTTACAATGTGATATAATGAACTTATATGAGCATTACTCATAATGTAATTTCATCAATCAAAATTTTGTATATCATTGTTATACAATGATTACAGGCCCCACACATTGTTCATGCTGTATATTGACTGTAGGGACCTGAACAACAAGTGCTGTACAATTAAGTATTTCTATCAAAATTGTGTGTAATTTCGTTATAATTTAATCTTTTTTAAAGGGTAATGAAATAATTTTCTGAAATTTATAAATAGTAAATTAAAAATATTAGAGCATTGTAACAAAGGATATCTCTGTAATATTTAAGACTGCAATGTATGTGAACGTGAACAGACAGGGCTTTCTTTCCTTCTATAGCAGGAGCCATTATAGGGCTGATTCCCCAAAGAAAAATTCTTTTAAATCATGCAGTTTTCCCCAAAAATTGAATTTACATCTATTTTTTTCTTCCCCTTTTGCAAATATACCATGTTATTTCCCCCCAAAATTAAGGGCCGGACTGCTTCCTAAATCTGTGAAAAAAAGCCCTGACAGAATATCTTTCTAAAGACATTGCATTCAAGACTAATTGGAGAAGAATTTAAAACTTGGATAAGCTGTTAATTAACTGCTTTAACCGGACAAATGTTCAATGATTTAATGCATAAATTGTCATTACTTACATTAAGGAAATGACAGTCATCTGAACAAAGTAAGCAAAGCAAAAACATGTATTTTGAACAAATTGCCATTGCTTTATAAGCAAATGTCTTAAGCAAATGGCTGGAAACAAACTGACATAAGAGATATGGTGCATAACATAAACAAATTTCTTAAAACTAAAGAAAGTCTTAAAACCTGAAAGATATCTTATAAACTGGATAAATATCTTGTAGAATGTACAAATATCCTATAAACTAAGCATTACTGGAAATGTCTTATAGAATGAAAATAAAGTCTAATAAGGTAAAACAGTTTTTAACAGAACAATTGGCTAAAGATACTGAAGACCTCGTCTTACAAACTAAAGAAGTTCTTTTATGAACAAGGGTATTATTAGATAAACAACTTTCCTAATAAAAATCAACAAATGTGGGGTTACACGGCTTACCGGAATGTTTTATTAATTGGTTTATCATATAATTTGACAAAAACAGAATTAACTTAATAAACAGCTTATTGCTTCAACAAATGCCTTACAAACTGAACAAATGTCTTTCAAATGACTTATCTATTATCTGCTCAGCAAATGGTTTATAAACTGAACTAATATCTTTATAAATGGCTTATAAACTGACTTAATGTTTTATTCAAAATACTTAAAAACTGACCTGTCTTATTCAAATTAATTATGAGCTGAAGAATTATCTTATAAATTACTTATTTACTAAATTAATGTCTTATAAATGACACATAAACTGTACTAAAATCTAATTCAAAAGACTTATAAACTGATCTAATGTCTTATAAATGTCTTATTAACTGAACTTATGTCTAATAAATGTCTTATTAAATGAAGGTATGTCTTATAAATGATCAAAATTACTGATCTAATGTCTTATAAATTGTCTTATTAACTGAACTAATGTCTTATGTCTTATTTACTGAACTTATGTCTTATAAATGTCTTATCAACTGAAATTACATCTTGTAAATGTCTTATAAACTTAATTAATGTCTAATAAATGTCTTATTAACTGAACTTATGTCTTCTAAGTGTTTCTTACTCAGTGTCTTATTAATTGAACCTATGTCTTATAAATGTCTTATTAACTGAACTTATGTCTTCTAAGTGTCTTATTTATTGAACATATGTCTTAGAAATGGTCTTATAAACTGATCTAATGTCTTATAAATGGTCTTATTTACTAATGTCTTATGTTTTATTAACTGAAATTATGTCTTATAAATCTCTTATCAACTGAACTTATGTCTTGTAAATGTCTTATTAACTGATCTTATGTCTTATAAATGGTCTTATTAACTGATCTAATGTCTTATAAGTGTCTTATTAACTGAATCATGTCTTATAAATGGTCTTATTAACTGATCTAATGCCATAATGTCTTATAAATAGTCTTATTAACTGATCTTATGTCTTATAAATGGTCTTTTAACTGATCTAATGTCTTTTAAATGGTCTTATTAACTGATATAATATCTTATAAATGATCTTAATAACTGAACTTATGTCATATATATGATCTTATAAACTGAATAAATGTCTAATAAATGTCTTATTAACTGAACTCATGTTTTATAAATGGTCTTACAAACTGAAGACACTGATCACAAGCTGAACATTTAGTTGGTGTTAAACTGAGCAAGTTGAAAATAAGATGAGCAAAACATAAAACTGCCAAAACAACAATATGTTTTACATTTAACTCACTTATGTCTTTTGTTCCACTAGACTGTTCTGGAAACAGAAGTTTTCAAATATTACATCATCATGTAAAAACAGAAAAAAGAAAAAGAAAAAATACCCAATTATCTAAACTTGCATGAACCTTGAATTTCCTTAATTTGGCAAAATATAAAAATTGGGCTGCCAACCAATACAGTTCCTGATGAAATAAATACATGGACGTACAGACTGACCTGGCTCTAAACTGGTGGCCCTGATAAACCATTACTATTTCTAGGACTTGTATAAAATATCAAAATTTATATGTTTGATAAAGTTGTGTTGCTAAATTATCGGTTGACAATAGATTTGAGTTTTAAGTCATGTGTCATTTACCCATTTAAGTGATAAAAATGTTTTTTTTTTTAATTAATTTATCTGAGCCTATATAAACCTATGTAATCTATCTTACCTTACAAAAAATAACTTTAAACTCCATAAAATTTGAATCTTTATATAATCAATCATATTAAAACCACAGAGCACAATCAGCATCTTTTAGATTTTAAATGTGATTTCTTTCTATTTTTAAGTTGTTTTTTTTATTGTTTTTTAAGTTTAATTTTAAATGTCAATATTTAATGTTAATAATATACACAGAGCAATTTCAGTATCATTTTTATTTTACAAATAAAAATGTGGTAACTTTTTAACACCAGCTGCTGGTTGTACGATCTATCTCCGGAGGTATTAACTTATTTTCCACTCCGATGCCTCAGAATCATAATACTTTGTGAGGCATCATGGGACATCACACACATCGCTTCCCGACGTTAATAAGATACCTACGAACCTATGTCACTTTTTGCCGCGTAAATGAACGCTTATAATCGAGAAAGCTTTAGGACATCTAATTCCCGTCATTCAATACTTGACCTTTTTATAATAATTTACATGACATTTGAGTGAATAATAGTAATATGTGGACCCCTGCGACCAACATCAAAAACGTAATATTTCACTAGCGGAATAATTTCTTAAAGGACACAGATCAATTTTTTATTACATTTATGTAAAATTAACTAATCTTCTTACCAACCTGTTAAGAAAGATAAATTGAAATATGTTTTCAAATAATTTGCAATGGTTCAAACCAAAATGTTGACATATTACAGGTTATTCAACTCAATGTAAGGCAAAAATATTTTTATATAGCAAAAGTATTAAACATGGTAAAACTTTTATTTAAGTCAACCTCTAAATAAAGTTTATTTACAACAAAACTGTCACTTATGGTCACATTGATCTAAATTTTTAACATAATTGTGATGATATGTTTCTTGTTCTTAGAGGCCAACTGTCAACAAAGACCACATTTTAAAATTCTCTTTAATGTATAAGGAAGGATAATTATAAGTAGTTCAAGGCTTAATAGTAGCATAAAATAAATGACCATCAGGTGGGTTAACTGCTTAATACTGGTATTAAACCAGGGAACATAAAACTGGTTCACTGCTTAATACTAGTATAAACTTATGGATCATCAGACTGGTTAACTGTTACTTCTGTGCCCTCTTACAAGACTTTTTTGTAAGCTTGTGAACATCTAGATATGTTAATATTAAACTAACAATGAATCATTCCTTATTTAAAGGATATACAAACCTCTAAATAGAAATTTGTCATAAAAATTCCCTATATTACATTTTAGTTAATTAATTGCCAAACCAGCCTGACACAGATTTATCAATCAATACCAAGCCTATACTTTCTTTCCTGTCACAGAAAAGTTTTTTTAATAACTTGTAAGGGAAAGCTCCAATTTATCAATAATTAATATAATGTATTAGAGTAATTAATTATAAAACTAATCTCAAATCTGACAAGAAAATTACATTGTAATCAGTGTATTCTATCTAGATGTGACAAGAAACATTTATCATATAAAAACCTACAATCTGAGGACAATAATGTAGGGACATGGTTTCACTTAAGGCCAATAAGGTTAAGGATAGATAATTTAAGGCTGAAGTTTTTTTATGTTGTAAAAATTGAATTACAAAAAAAATTATGTTCAATAGTGACTTGAAAAACTTAAAAGATTAATGAATAATTAATGTTATATACATGGAATATTTGGGTGCGATAAAAATTTGAGTTTGATAATTTAGGTCAGCTTGGTTGAAATTGGAGCAAGGGAGATATAACCATATAACTTCAGATCAGTATAAATTTGGACCAATAATAAAATAATAATTGATTCTACATCTTTTAGTTCATTTAATTTTGTAATGCAAACAGTTGACTTTAAACTAACACCCAAGCATATAAATATCATTTAACTTCTCCACCCCTAAAAATGAAGTATAATCTGCAAGATTTTCAATTAAATCATCCTGAGTTTAAGCTGTAAATGTTATCAAAGGGCTATAACCCAATATAAACTATTAAGGAAACAACAGCAGCTAGTTTACACTAATCTACATATCATACTGATCACATTGGTGAAGTTTCACAAAAATCAGCATAAAAATGTTATAAATGTAACAAGGAAATGAAGTTCCATACTCAAGCACATACAGTCAAATATATAGTGCAACCTCTAAATAACTTCATTAAAGATGGGTGTCAGACCATAATGTTAATATTAATATATTTATGCTGAATTATAAACCAAGTTCTTGCACCTAATATTTATCATTATTTGAGTCCATTTCCTGGTGTAGTCATGAGGAGGAAGGAAACATGGCTTGCTATGATTTGACCAGGGCTTGAAATCCTGATGCACATAAACGCTATCTGCCCTTGGAAAATGATGTCTTGAGACCAGGTTATGGTGAGATACAAATATTTTGATGTATCATTTAATATAATTCTGAGACTGCCAAAATATTGTTTTATTGCAACAATTGCATTATAATCCTAAGAAGGCCTGTTCATGGCATAATAAACCTGAGTGCAAAAAATATTAGTTCATGAGAGTGCCAAAATATTGGATTATTGCATGATTATCCTGAGAGGGTCCTTAAACATTTATTCATGTAAATTACCAAAATCAAGTAAAAATATGCAAAAATAGCCCTTACTGCATTAGAAACGCAGTAGAAATCAGGGCGGCCAAACCGAAATATGGTGTAATACTGCAAAATCAGTCACTACATGCACATAACATGCAAATTATGACTTAAATCTTGAATTTAACTTTTCTTATAATCTCAGTACATTTTTGTCAAGTTTAATTTTTCTTGAAATATTTTGGCTTATCTGTAGGCATGCAGCTTTAAATAAAATCTTTAGTAAATGTGTCAAAAGTTTGGTAGTTAACAAGTTAAAGAGAAAATACTTCTTTTTCTTCTTGCCTTCATGTTGCCTTCTTTTTGAATATATTGAAAGGTATGACAGTGCAATAATTCTAAATAAAAGAAATCCAGTCAAACATTAGAGGGAGGGAATCTCACATGAACAGATTTTTTGAATTATAAGGTTTTGGGTATTCATTAAAAAAAGATTTCGGGAACATTAGATTTTCAGGGTATTATTAAAACAAATTTAAGACACATATGCTAATTCTGACCCACTTTTGATATAAATATAATATATAAAAACTCAGAAACTAGATATTCCATTTAACTGTTACTGTTTTGCATAAATATATAGATAATCTGTTGATAATTTATGCAAGAAAATCAATACTGGCTTCAATGCAGAATCACATAATGCAATAGAACCATGAATTAACAACTCGTAAATGATCAAAGATCCCAGCAATCAAAAAGATTTAATTCTATAACTTGTATTCCATATCAAACATGACTGTGCTGAAATTTTATGGTTGATTTTTTTTAACCATGACAAATATTTAACACTTTGTAAATTTTACTGCAATGCAACCAGGTATTTTTAATTACCAGTAATGTTAGGCCAATTATTATTATTTCATTATCTGGAAATAGATAATTATATAGTTTGTATCGCAGTTTATGTGGAGAATAAATTTCAATAACCCAAAATTAGGTAAAGGGAGGCAAATCTGTCAAGCTTGTTTACAGTTGAGACAATATTCCTATAAGAGTTATCTCTACTTACCCATTCTTCTCTGTCTCAGGAGGCGAACTTCAGCCCTCATTTTTCTTTTCTCGCTGAAATTTGTACTTTTCCGCAGCTGAAATGATTTAAATCAAAATTGAAACAACAATTATAAGTGATAAATGATGCAAAATCTTAGTACACTGAAACTTTCTATTTCAAGCAGATTCATGTTAGAAATATCCTGTTCAAGCAATATTTTCCAATTTTCAGTCAATTTTTAGAATCAGTTAAGTTCACTGAATTTTTTTATTTATGTATAGGTTAGTGTTTAATAATACATATTAACAAAAATAATTGGTCAACTGCCTGCCGCAGGCAGGCGACCAATTATTTTTGTTAATGTGTATTATTAAACATTAACCTATTTAATGATCAACATTATTTTTTTCAACCAAAAACAAGGCATTTCTCTAAATCACCGATAGCACCGCCCTTTCGCTCTAAAAAATGTCTACTCCTTGTCAAGTTTCTAACATGTCACATTTTAGAAAAGCTAAATAAATGACCCTTTCAACATATAATTAGGCACATTTTCTACTGAAATGTCAATGCATTGTTAATGCAGTTCATTACTATCGTCTGAAAGAAAATAATGTTTTGGTTACTTTTTCTAGAAAATATAAAGTTTAAAACAGTCAGCAATTTATAACAGACATTTTTCTTAGAGTTAAAAGGATATAAAAAGTTACTATGTAATCATTCGTCTCTGCGTGCCCCACATGTATTATCTATGTAATAAATTAATTGATTGTATCCTCACATTTGGAACACCTGACCTCGCTTATTTTTTTAACGCTGGCATTGTTTTGCTAATCTAGATTTTTTACAATTCAGAGTGCAAACCACACCTCTAACTCCTACCTAATATAATGCATTATTGAAATTTGTTAGACTGGTTAGTCGACAGATTAAGTAAATTTTATTTAGTTAGTACACATTAACCAAAGTTAGACTGAGCAGAAATTTGAAAAATACTACAATGTGATTGGACAAAAAATAATGTTGATCATTAAAATACATTGGATTTTGCCAGTCACTTAAAAATCCTACATTAAATGTAAGACTGACTGGTGAATTTCTTAAATCCTGACTTAACCAATGAGCATACTATTAGCATAAATTTTTTAACTTCACTGAACAGCAAGGAAATGCATGTAAAGGAAATCAACTTTATAAAAATGTATGTTATGTAAGTTTTCCCTAATAAAATTTTTCCCTCCAAAATACTCAACATGGATCAACATGGAAAAAAACAGTCGCTAAATATTTAAACAAATTTCATTGTTAAAAAAATATAACAAATTTCTATGCACCTGTTATTATATTACATATAATCTACAGATATGATAAAAAGTATTACTTATTGAATTATTCAACATAAAATTACACCTGCCTGTCACCAGCTGAACATTTTGCTGATATCTATTAATTTGCGAAAACAATATTCTTATCAATTATTATTGAAGTGCTCAACTTAAGGAAACAGAAAATTTATATTCTTTATGAGATGATTTAACAAGCTATAAAAGAGAGAAAATTCTATAATTATGTGACAGAGGGGGTATTGTAAATACACTTATATTTAATAAATTTAATCCTTGTGCTATTGTGTAATATACCTGGGACAATTCTGAGAATGACAGGAATTCACTATTACAGATGAATTCTTCATTTTTACTTTATATAAAACCTATACTTTATGTAAGAAAATAGACAAAAATTAATTTAACAAAAGTAAATTAATTTCAATCTAAAATAAATAATATGATAAGTAGGAACTGTCAGCTCAACTTTTCTCAGTGTTTGATAGTTAGAGCCTGAATAATGTAGAAATAAACAAAAAAAATGATTTCATTAAAAAAAAATACATGGCATAGTTACAAGTCTTGGATATTGACCAAAGAAAGTTCATAAAGGGGCAATAATTCAGTCAAAATCCAATTGGTGTAAATTAGGTATACAAATTACCATTTCCTGTAGCCTTGCCTCCTCTTGCATCAAGGTTCCAATCAGTTCAATTTTCCCCATTGGAGTTAACGGCTCATCTACTTCAAACATGGCGAGCACATTTTTCTCCGTCTCTGCATGATCCTGGTCTACATTATTATCAACTTCATTAACCAATGCATCAGTCTCACTGACTGCTCTTCGACGTCTCACAATATCTGATTTAGACCTTTGTACAGGTTTTTTGTTGTCTTTAATAGACTTATCTGTTCCCTTACTATTAAGTATAGCACTAATTTCATTGTCTGTTTTATCACTACTTGAAACAGTATCATCATCAGATTTATTACCAGATGCAGACTTCAGTTCACTTTCTCTATTCAACAACTGAAGTTCACGTCGCACTCTGTTAGCTTTACGCTTTGAGTCTGACCTCTCCAATTTTTGCTCTAATGTCTTTTTAAAATCAGCAGGACTCATTTTAGATTTATCAAGTTTTTCTGTTACCTCTTTCTCAATGGCTATTTTCCCTCGCCTTTCCTTCCTTCTTTCCTGAAGAAGTCGAATAGTTCGCTGATGAACAGTTTCATCATCTTCATGTTCATTGTCATGTTTTACCGGTATTTCCGGCAACTTTCTCCTCACTGACCCACTTTTACCAGCCTTCCTTGGACTAAACTCTGTTACTACACTCCTTTTTTCATCACTTCTACTATTCTTAATTGTGCATGTATCACGTTCCTCTTGTGCTTCTTTTTTCTTTTTTCGATACTTTTGATAATGCTTATGCTCATCTGAATCTATCCTGTTCTTTCTAGACAGGCCAGGTTTTTTCTTTACCAAATCATTATCAACAGCCTCTTCCATTGTCTTAGCTTTATTATTAGTGTAATTGGAAATCACATTTGCATCACACTCGACCTCATTCTCCCCAACTTCATGATAAGGATCATTATCTTTTAATGGTGACAATACAATAAAGTTATCCTCAGTTTTATTCTTTCTTCCATGTTTTTCTTTCATTTTGTTTGTAAAATAGTTTAATTCTAGAATTTCACTCTTTAAATCTGTATTCTGTTTTGAATTCAATTTATTTCTTAACCTAACCACTAAATTCTGGTCTTCTTCTCTTTTAATCTCAATTGGCTTTGCAATGAAAATTCGTTCTTGAGTATCAGTTAGTTTTTCAGTATTACCAGAACTTACATTTCCAAGTCCAAGTCCAGGTACTCTTTCAGAATTGCCTTGAATTGCACTTGTTTTCACTATTTTAGTATTGATATTTCTTTCATCTTCTTCCACTACTTTTAATTCCTTAGGTTTAGTATAATTACAAGATAAATCATCCAATGGAATTTTCCTTTCCAGAGAATTATTTGATTCTACACTATCACTAGATTTGTTGCTAATTGGAGGAGCACTTCTTAATCTTGCTCTTGATATTGTTGAGCTTACAGGACTTAATTTACTGGTAGGAGAAAAAGCACTAGTTCTATAACTAACAATCTTCCTTGGTTTTCTTGGTGATGATATAACAGGGGATGTCGGTGACCTTGGTGACCTTGAATGGTTACCATAGAGACTAGATGAATTCACACTTACTGGCCTATGTAATACTGAGGTTAATTTCACTTTTTCTAAATCTCCACTGAATTCTATTGCACTTATATCCAGTTCCTCATTATCACCTTTAGGCCCCTCCTTATCACTATTTAGCACCTCTTTACCACTTTTAAACCATTCCTCCCCATTTTCTTTTCTTTCTTTCTGAGGTAAAGGAGTACTCTCATATCTTTTGATTCTCTCTTTCCTATCACTTGTTTTTATTTTATCTTTAACACTTTTCAATACTTTAGTTTCAGCTTTTGAATCAATAACTCCTTCAGCAGTTTCAGTACATTTATCTACTAGTTCAAACTTATCCAACACTTTTACTCTAGTTATAGCAGTATGAACCTTTCTTGGACTTTTAGAATCTTTTTTTCCTCTGGGAGAATTTTTAGGAGAATTTGAAGATGTTGAATTTCTTGGGGAGTTTAAAGTTCCAGCATATAAGTAACTCCTAAAATGTGGTTTCTCAATTCCATTCTCATCAAGTTTATTATTAAATTTTATTGCATTTTCTCCTAAAGGTTTTGCATCACTACTGATTTTAAAATCTTTTTCTTTTTTTGGATAAGTTCTACTGTCATTTGATCTGTTATCTTTTGCACTTTGGTTCAGCAGCAGCTGGTGTTTTCTGGGAGAGGTTTCTGAGGAACTATTTTTCAGGGTCCTTGACCCAAATGAGTAGGTAATTAGGTCAGAACCATCATGTTTAAGCCCCTTTATTTCCCGTAAAGCACTTCTAATGTGATGCCTTTCTTTAAAGTCCTTGCAGGCTGCAAGCTGAAAATAAACGAATTAAACAGATCATATTAGGTGCGTTTTTTTCTTAATTTTATAATAATAATAAGAAATAATAAAACACATTTAATACCTCATCCACTGCTTCCTTTCAAAAATTGTATTAAAAAAAACCAACACTGTATTTATAACAAAAACAAAATGTTACCTAAAAAATAACATGTACAAGGTTATTTAGACCAGCATTTTACACTAAATGTCAAACAATAAATAACAAAACAATAAATTCCACATTTTCATTGACCGCCTACACAATAATGCATCATAATCTTATTAAACAAGGCTGACCACTGGTGACCCTCCGGTAGCACTTATTCTGTTTTATTATTCTTGTTTACTTTTAAACAATATTTCACCAACTGAGAGAGAAAAATTAACTGGGCCTTGTTTTAACCAATATGTAAAATTTAATAAACTATAACAAGAGCTGTTGTTAGGTCAGTGTGCTTAACTAGTATATTATCAAATTAATGGTTAGCAGCCATTTTAGTTTTGTTGACAAATTATATATGTATGCTGTAAAGGTAAAACTAATTGAAACATATATGTAATATTGTCACAACAATCATATACCTTGTTACAAAATCTCTCCCTTGAGTGGGGACAGATTATTATTAAGTCCTGTCTTCAAAGTAAAAAAAACAAAACTTTTAGCACTAAAGTGAAAATCTAGCCATTTAATTTATAATGATATTTGGTCACTTACTGTACCACAAGCGGGATATCTTTAATTTAGAAGATTAGTATCTTAGCAAACTCCATTGGCAAATCAATTGAAAAATGAGTCACGTCACGAGAAAACCAACATAATGGGTTTGCGACCAGCATGGATCCAGACCAGCCTGTGCATCCGCGCAGTCTGATCAGGATCCATGCTGTTCGCTTACCAACTATATTAAAAGAAGAGAAACTGATAGCGAACAGCATGGATCCTGATCAGACTGCGCAGATGTGCAGGCTGGTCTGGATCTATGCTGGTCGCAAACTCATTATGTTGGTTTTGTCGTGGCGCGGCTCAAATGGTAAATAATACCTCAATGACCTTTTGTGTCCGACAAAAATGACTTTAATACAAAAATCTAGTTATATACACTTCTCCAATTACACTGATTAAATCAAAGAGACTTTGGTCCAAATATTAAAATTTGTGCTCTAAAATTGACCGAAGATTTTATTTTACAACATGATTGATAACTTTTGAAAAATGTAAACATATTCTAAACTTAAAATCTTAATCAAGCACATCCATATTTGATTTTAATCAAGTATGATTAAGTTCTTACTCATCATGTATCATATAACAACAAGAAAAGGTAAGGAACACAGGTGACTCAAAGCTGCTTATTTTTTCACTGATATTGATCGCATATATTTTCTCTTCTTTTTTTTAAAGTTACTTCAAAGGTCAAGCTTTAATGCATAAGGTGCAACTTTTTGTGCATTATTTCAGGAATGACAGGTGCTTTACATCTTTACAAATAAAAACAACCAATGGTTACTTCTGAGTCCTTGAAGTTCAAAGACTCTTCATCACCCTGTGACCAAAAACAACATCATGTTACACAGTACTTGACTATGCATTATCAAATATGAATAAAATCTTGCATTGCTAAAATAGCACAAACTTTAACAAAGAGCTAAAAAAATTACCAACATTCACATGCCACATAGAAAACTCCTTGAAGAATAGAATATTTCCTAGTCCAATATAAATATATCATACCAAAATATACAGAAAACAATTACAGAGTTCTTTTAATAAGAAGACACTATCCTGATGTTAACAACTCTTATTTTATAACTAACCAAAACATTTACATGCAAACTGCCTTATTACAATGTATTATTTATAAACTGAAGCTAATTCTTTTATCTATTTCTTTAAGAAATTACATGTCATGATAATGGAAATTTTAAATAAATCAAAATATTTTGACCATTAATAATGTTTATCTATTGAGTATCAATCAATATAACACACATTGAGTCATAATGCAAGAAGGAAACTAACCAGTTCGTAATCCATTACTAGGTTAATCCTTAATCAAATTGATCACATAATTTCATTCTTTAGTCATTTTTGAAATCATTCTTTCAGTTACAAAGTTTAAAATGACTCAAACTGCGCCTTCACTCCACAATGTAAAATATGAAAACATATAAAAATATACAAAAACCGCGGACTTTTTGGTTTGGGACCAAAAATACATCAATAGTAAATGACATGTGTATGATAGTAAATGACAATTAACCCAGATCGGAGGTTATGATCTTTACCACCGACGGTTAACAATGAAACCTCGTCATAAAATTTGGACGGCAATCAAAATATAAAATTTACTGTGTCATCCCGAAAATAAAACACAAATAAAATTCCCTGCTCTATCTTTTGTATCTATTTAACTCTTCTTGTAATTTAATTTACATGCTAAATTGTTAACTAAATTAAATTTCGACTGCAAGACACTGGTTAAACTAAGGAACTATTATATAATTATACAAAGCAAGAAAACCAAAAACAGTGGCTCAATAATTCTACAACAATAATATAATTAATCATCCACAAATTAATCATAACATCAAAATTTGAACTGACTGAGTAGCAAACAGTACAAACCAAGATCAGATGGCACGGCACGGATGCGCCGACAGATCTTGGTCCGCAGTGGTTGCGTTGGTTTATACTAAGAATCCTTTGCCACTATCAGACTTAGAGTAAAAATACAACTTAATTATAATTTACCACCCCAAATTCATAGATTTATAATAAAATTCCTGATTATTTAAATAGTACATTGTTTTAAATACCGTAAATAGATGACAAGTAAAACAGATGTATCCAAAATATTCCTTTATTCTGATACATGTATGAAAACAAACGCTATCTATAGATTATAGAAAATACTATGCAGTTATCTGGACCCCTACTTATGAATTATCTTATGTAAGACATAAGTGTATATAAGTTGTCTGCTATACAATTTTGTCCGTCTGCTATATAACTTTGTCCGTCTGCTTTAAATTATTGTCCGTCTGCTTGATTATTACTGTCCATAGGGTTTCCTTTACAATATCTCCACTTCTCTCTAGTTTACATTTCAATACATACTTATATTGTCATAGTATTGTATAATGGTAGATATAGAATGTTTGAACAGTAGTGACAATACGAAAACCCAGACTATTTACAAACCCTGTAAACAAACACAAGGAAATCTTCATTTTCGAAACTTTCGTGGCCTACAGTTTGGTCATTTCGGCATTTGAACGCCACTAAATTCAATTCATAAAGTTTTCGCAACAATAAAGTAAAATTGACCTCTAGTTAACTCAAGTTTCGATATAATCCAGCGGTTGATTGTTTATATCGGAAAACTTTGATAACATGTTAAACATCGGGGCACTTAAATTGATAAAAGCTAAAAATTACTCCTTGGAACAAATAAAAATTACACTTGGGGACAAAATAGGTGTAGACAAACTGTATAAACCTTATACAATGAATTTACTTATCTTAAAGAATAGGTTGTCAATGTCATAAATATGATAAACACATAAATCTTTCCGCTCGAAAAATGAAATATAGCCCCTTATATACGGCTATACTTGGTATAAAGGACTATACAGATATTTGATCGAGAATTATCCGCCTTAGTGATGCAGCGATACATAAAACTTGTAAAATAATAAAGAATGATATATTAGCATTGTATTTGCATTATACATAAATAACTCAATACTCCCACTGAATTTATTAATTGGACTTGACCAACTTCCACTTTGGCTGTGTCCATTATCAATTTTAGGGATATCAAGGTTGAAATGAAGTTTTCACTCATATATACCATTGTCAAAGAAAACAGACATGAGGCCTGGCCCAGCTCTATATACTGGTGGCAAAGTCTGTTAACAAATAATGTAAAAAAAATAACAAAATTAAGTGCTAAGAAAAATTTGTTTAAGTAATGTTAAATAATTGAAGAAGTCAAGTTATGGTCCCTATATTCTTCATTGTTTGTAGGATATCAACTTTTGCATACAAAATGTCTGGAACTACAGACATAGAAATTTCATGTACATTAGTATTTTAAATTCAATATTATAGCTAAATGCATCACTGTTCTACAGCAAACAACTTACATACTTGTAAGCGAACTTACCTTCTCTATCTAAAATACAAATTAGAACTTTGTATGCAATGAATATAAAGTAAGGAATATGTCAAAATTGAGGAAAATTTAAAACTTCAACAGCAATAAAACCTATGTTTTTCTCCTAAATTCATCGAGAAAATAGCACCAATCAAACATATTACTTACCTAAAAACACGTAAAACTTATAATCAACTGATAGCAAAGAATAGTTTAATCACAGTCATTTACTCGAGGCTTGAAACTTAATGATATGTGCTTTAAAACATACTGAATACAAATCAAGTTTGTGAGTGAAATTCATCAGACATTATGTAAATTTATTTTGTTTATGTAAATATATCTTATTTCCATATAAGTAACCCAAAGGTGTAGGATGTATACAGATGTATTTTAATGTTGTTATTTTTTTATATTTATCAAATATTTATAAATTTAACATACAACAAACAACTGTGAGCAAGTCAGTATATGTCTCAAACATCGTAACCCATTTTTCCTTCCTGCAGTCTGAGTTGCTCAATTCTATTTTTTTTTTGTAATACTAATTGTAACATTTTCACCAATCTGAGACTATTTTGCAATTTTGATACTGGAATCCCTTACACCACTCAAGTGGGCTGTTCAAAGTTGACTAACTTCTTATTGGGTTATTTCCTAGCTAATCTTGAGGTACAAACAAACTGTCACAGTTATAGCTTCGAAAATAACAAAACAGGTTGACTAATCTATTATGAATGGTAGAGCTATTAGCCTAAAATCTGTTCCAAGAACCAGACCAGTACTAAGCAATTAGTGTAAAGTTTCTTGCTCATGGAAACCACTGTTTGG